GAGGACTTCCAGGCGGTGGTGCAGCCCATGCTGGCCGAGGCCGACATCGCCACCACCGTCTTCATCACCGGTGAGTACGTGAGCGGCTCCTTCACCTCCTCCTCCTCCCTTCCCAGGATCCTACCTGGGTGCTGCCGCCCCGGGATGGGCTCCTCTGGGGGCCTCGTACCCCCGGCATCGCCAGAGCTCTGGCTCCCGCGGGGCTGGTTTGGACAACACGATGGGTGGGCTGTCGCAGGCGGTGGTGGCAAAGGGTGCAAGGGGACACTGTTGCACTCAGTACGGGTGACTGCCTCACCTCCTGCACCCCCGGCTGGGACCCCTGTGGGGACAGTGGGGCTGGGGTCACCGTCTGGGGGATGGCAGCCGGCAGGGCAGAGGGACGGAGGGCGACGCTCAACTCTTTCCACTTTCCCCCGCAGAGAGACCCCACCATGCACATGAGAAGGTACGGGATGAAGACCTGTCGCAGTGGGACACGCTGGTGGTCATGGCCGGGGACGGGCTGCTGTATGAGGTGAGGGGCACCGCAGGGCATCCCCCCGGGCAGGATGGGCACAATGCCGGGAGGAGAGGTTTGCCTGGGGCGGGAGCCAAGCTTCAAGACACGAAAGCAGGCAGGGAATGGCAAAGGAGAGATGGCACCCAGCTTGGAGCAAAGCAGGGCAGCCATGGCCTCGGTCCTGCCCTGGCCAGGGGCACCGTGGGCTCCGCTCGCCCCGGGCGGTTCCTTGCCTGGCCCCAGGTGCCACAAGCTCCCTCCGTCCCTGCAGGTGGTGAATGGGCTCATGGAGCGGCCGGACGGGGAGGACATCATGAAGAAGCCGCTGTGCATCCTGCCGGGGGGCTCCGGGAACGCCCTGGCCGCCTCCATCAACCACTACGCAGGGTGAGCCCCAGCCCCACGGGGCACCCGCTGCTGGCACCGCACCGGCCGGCATGCAGGGCTGCGCTGGCACCGAGGTGGGGGGGATGAGGGAAGCGAAAGGCTGTGCATGGCTCCAGCCCAGGGGAAGGGTGCTGGGTACAGGGATGCCCGGCGCAGGAGCGTCCACCTGGGTCCCCGCCTTCCCACACGCTGGTGTGGCACAGCTCCAGCCGGTCTCTGCAAGCATCGGATTGCACCTCTGGGTCCCCAGCTCCCCCCACACCCTTTCTCCTCTCTGGGCTCCAAATCTGGCACAGCTTTAACCCAAAGGAGCCACTCCGGAGCACAGCTGATCCCGCTGCATGACAGGGGGACCGGGATTGCCCTGGCCCAGCAGCTCCAACTCGTTCCCTCTTTCAGGAGCTGGTTTGTCCTTCCCACCCCCAGCAAAACCTCTCCCAGCAGCTGTCCCTGAGGGACACTGTCACCCAGCTGGGATATGTCCCAGCCATGACACAGGGGAGAGGGTTGCACGTGGATGCTGGGACAGCAGGAGAGGCCCTGAGCTGGGTCCAGCCCAAACTCACCCTCTCCATCCCTCGCAGCAACGATCACGTCGCCAAGAAGAAGCTGCTGACGAACTGCGCCTTCATCCTGTGCAAGGGGCTGCACACGCAGATGGACCTGGTGTCGCTGAGCACGGCCTCGGGCAAGCGCCTCTTCTCCTTCCTCGGCTTCGGCTGGGGCTTCATCTCGGACGTGGACATCGACAGCGAGAAGTACCGCCGGCTGGGCAACGCCCGCTTCACCCTGGGCACCCTCCAGTGCCTGGCCAAGCTGCGG